CCCACGTCCGTCTCCCGCACCGAAGTGGGCTCACTCGTGCTACCCTCCCGGTTCCCTAGTGAGTTTTCAGACACCGGGAAAATCAACTATGGCTGCAGTCACACAGAGAATTAGGCACGCTAGAGAGATGGTAGATAGGTGGATTTTCCGGGCGCGATCTCACCGCCACATCTGGGAAGCGTAGAGCTCCCGTGCCGAACCCGAGGCTTCCCGCCGAAGATGCACGGTTAAAAACTAGTACCTCGGAGATACTAGTTTCCGGTAACAGCGGGGCAAGGGCGGGCGTCTAATCTCATTTCTGGTGGTAGTTCCAGCGCCTGCCCATGCCCCCTTGTATAAAGGTTTTTTCCCCCCAACTGTCCATGGGATGCGCACGAGCACCCAACAGGGCATGCACACACTTTGGTGTCCGGAGAAAAAAACCACCCGTTTGCCGCGCCGCGCCGCTTCTTTGCCGCAGCGCAGGATTGTGGTGTGCTTGGCACCTCCCCCCTACCACGGGACCTCCATGGGACCTCCATGGGACCTCCATGGTACGTCTGCTGGTGCAATCGTGCATTATTTTGCCCCGGGGCAAACAGCCACGCTTCCTCCGCACATTTTCCTGCCCGTGTGCCCGCGGCCTATGTTCCGGGTACTTGCGCTTTGAATCAATAATCCCTCTAAGCTGTGGAGCCTTGTGAGCAAAAATTCTACTTTGTGAGCTACTGGCATTCAAGTTGTGAGCGAGCGATTTGGCTACCACATACATTCGTTCGCTCTGGAGCCCTCCCTTCCTGAGCGGAGACAAAAAAGTGTGAGCTGGAGGCTAAAAAAATGTGAGCTAGCTCACACTGACTCAGCTTAGAGGGAACACTGCTTTGAATCCACAGTTTGTTGTAAATAGCACCCAGGGCGCTTCTGAAGAAGTGAGCAGGGACTCACGAGAGCTCCTACCCTGCCACAAATTTTGTTCCTCTTTAAGGTGCTACTCGGAGCTGGACAGCCATCTCTCGCAATGATTGCGATTAGGTGTCCGATCCCCACAACTTACAAATTAATACACGTTTGTAGCAAAGTAGTATTTTATTGAAGCCATGATGGAACAGGAACACGTTCACTGTTTAGAATAACTAAGGTCCCGTTCACACTAGGCGATTTGGGCCGGGAGCGGGACAGTTCGGGGGCGGAGCAAAGCGGCGCGATCACACCACAACATCTGGGAAGCGTCCTGCTTCCGTACCCGAACTGGCCCTTCCCACGAAAATCCACCGCAACTTGCAACCACCTACCTTGGTGGTTCAACGGGAAGCTGTGCGGCAAGCCGGGCGTTTGATCGCCGGTGCGTCCTTGCGCCGGCACAACCCCGGCACGTAGCCGAACT